GTGAATGTACAGCGCTCTCTCCCACCTTCAATACCACGACTGAGGTGCCCTTGAGCAAGGCACCGAACCCCCAACTGCTCCCTGGGCGCCGCAGCATAAATGGCTGCCCACTGCTCCGGGTGTGTGTTCACGGTGTGTGTGTGCACTTTGGATGGGATAAATGCAGAGCACTAATTCCAAGTATGGGTCACCATACTTGGCCACATGTCACGTCACTATTTCCTGTTTGTGGTCGGTCAATAGTGTGGTGTCTAAGTTTGTAAATAAAGACTAAACAACAGCTTCTGATATATTTGTTTAGTGATTTATTTAATTCATCTCCCTCCCTTTGTATTGTGTGACGTAGTCCAGTGAAGGCGTGTTTAGGGGGCGGGTTTTACAAGCGTGCCGCGAGGCTACTGGCCCGATGATTTCAGCCTCTGTGCTCGAGGTCCTAGGCTATTAGCCCCGCCTGGCTCGCACTGGCCAGTGGAAAAGCGACTAATGGGTGAAGATGGCAGAAGACTGTACATGCGTGAGATGCACATATGCGCATCTTGTCATGGCATTAGAGTTTACATACAGTCCTGTTGTGTCTAATATGAATAGACCCAAGCTATTCACAGGTATTGCCAGATAATCACTTTACCTCTACCATACTTTTAACAGACTTGGATCGTTTGTGATTCTGGCTGTCATCCTTTCTTGCATTGTCTTGAGCCTTCACTTTACCAATTATAAGCTATATTGTTAGTAGCCTGGATGGCCCACAGTCATTATGATACACCATATCGCCCTCTACTGGATGTAAAATGCTCTGCAGTACATTTAGCCATTTTAGAACGTTAAGTATGGTAACGCTTTAGAATAGGGAACACTAATTCACTATTAACTACGAATTTTCCCTCAATAAATTCCTAATTTGCTGCTTATTAATAGTTAGTTTGGTAGTTGTTAAGTTTAGGTGTTAGGTAAGATTAGGGATGTAGAATAAGGTCATGTAGAATATGTGCTTAATTACTACTAATGCTAATAAGCAACTAGTTAAGAGACCCTAAAATAAAGTGTTACCTTAAGTTCTACTTCAGTAGTTATTTTGGTGAAAGTAACTCAAAAGTAATACAGGAGTCATGTAACAAATTACAATTCTGAGACCGTAATATTGTATGGTAAGGAATTACTTTTAAATAACAGTAACAAGTAATCTATAATGTATTACAGTTTGAAAGTAACTTGCACAACACTAATCCTGTTTGGTTGGTCCCCCATCTTTGGCAGCATAGTAAGAAAATATGTCAAATGTTACAGTAAAAGTGCAGACGAGGTTAAGGACTGTTGTTAGGCATGACACAAAGTGAAATGAAATCATATTATATCTTGATGCACTTTGAGAAATGCGCTATTGGCTGAAATGCATCAAGTGTGCAGCTATTTTTCTTTTTGTCAGCAGTATGAGCAAATGTTTTCTTGGAAAATAAAAGTTATACCAAGAGGCAATGTTCAATACAATCATAGAAATTGATCAGGAGTATTATTTAAATCTAAGAAAATTATTTAATAAAAAAGGGAAACTGATAAAATCTTAGAAAACTTGGAAAATGTTAGAAATCGAAAGAAGAATAAATAGGAAAATTGATGATGATAATCTTAAATTATGAAAAGAAAGAAAAAGTCTATTTTTTTTTAATCAAATCTTTGAAAATGATGGGAAAACATTAGGGAAATAATATTTCTAAGTCACTTTGGATAAAATCGTCTGATAGATAAATGTAAATAGAAAATGATGGGGAAAATAGGGAAAAAAAACTCTTAGAACATTATGAAGAAAAGTGAAGTTAATAATAACATCTTGAATTATTAAACATCAGGAAAGTTGCTAAATAAAATCTTAGAACATTATGTAAAATTTGTTTTTCTATTAGTTGAAACTACTTCCATTACTCAAAAATACTTATCCCATGATGACCTAAAAGAAAAATCAATCATTTTGACCCATACAATGTATTTTTGGCTATTGCTACAAATATACCCCAGCTCCAGGGTGACATATAAAATTCAACTGACATATGTCACAGATGTGTATATATTGGATACTGAGCTCATCCAATCAGATTATACAGTCTGAACTATTTGTTTTTTTAATATCATTTTGCCGCCTAGGAACTTCAGAAGCTGGTGTTGCAGTACAGGGAGGACATTATTTCTGCGCACACAGCTGCAGAGCATTTGGAGGAGAAGCTGAAGGCTGAAATTCTGTTCTTGAAGGAGCAGATTCAGGCAGAGCAGTGTCTCAAAGAGAACCTGGAGGACACTCTACAGCTGGAGATAGAGGGCTGTAAAGAAGAGATCGGTGAGTGGATTGCAGATGTCAGTTGATTTTGATAATCAAAGAAAGCTAACAGTTAGACACCATGATGCTTTATACCAGGGTTCCTCAAATCTGGTCATGGAGGGCCACTGCCCTGAGTTTAACTCCAACCCTGATCAAACTCACTTACCTGTGATTTTCTAGGGATCCTGAAGACCTTGATGAGCTTGCTCAGGTGTGTTTAATTAGGGTTGGAGCTAATCTCTGCAGGGCATTGGCCCTCCAGATTAAGATTTGAAGAACAGCAGTATAAGCTACACAATTCATTGAAAAATAATTGAAAAAGATCTAGTATATACTTTATATAACTTTTGTACTATATATAGTAGGGCTGCAACAACGATTCGATTCGTTATCGCGCGACGCGGAGACGTTTGATTATAAAAAAAAAAAAAAAACTAACTAATTACTACCTGCTTGCAATTTATATATTTTTAAGCTACACTGTAGGGCTTTGTTAAAGTAATTACAAATGCTACACTGTTTTGAAACAGTACATCATATGTTTATGCTACTGAATAATGAAATATCAGCTACATATCTTTCAGTTAGTTAGTTAGTCCCCAGCTCTGCTCAGAGGCAACCTTAATACTGCTTGTAAGGGTTCTTTAGGTGACACAGTGCAGATACAGTAGTCCAAGCTTGAGGAGAACCTTCATAAAACACACCCACAACTATTTACTTGTAATTTTCAAGTCATGTTGACTTCATTGTCATGTCACAGTGTTTAAATTTTCATTCTGGCTCAGTCAGCAGCACTAACACGCAGATGTTTGAGCAAATGATTCCTCTTCTTACAGAGCAGAAGGCTTGCCTTGTTCTTGTGTTCTTGTCATAGGAGAACTAGCCATGCAATTGACTAATGCAAAACACAGCAACAGCATGTGACCTTGCTTTTTTTTTTTTGTCTTCCAACATACAGCATCTTTTTCCAGCTTGAAAACGGAACTGGAAAGAGTGAAGAGTGAGAAGGAACAGGTAGGGCAGAAGTTCAAGGCAGACTGCTGAGTTTTATTGCCTTTTGGCTTGAATGTCATAAAACGGGTCAAGAATTTTATTATTATATTTTTTTTTATAGTAGTTTTTGAGATGTGCATTTTTCTCAATGTATTAAATAATAATAAATAATGTTTACATTGCATGGTATATGGTACAAGTAGTAGTTATAATAGGAGTCTTTTTACAGTATTTTTTTTATCTACAGTATTTTTAGTCATTATCATCAATGTTTTGTTGTTGTCTGTACTTGTTGACCAATCTGTTGATTTTTACAACAGCTGGAGAGCAGCTTGGCAGAGAAGAGCCAGATGCTGGAGAGTGTCCAGGGCCTGAAGAACAGGCTGGAGGAACAGTTAAAAGATGCCCTCGGCAGCAAGGTCTGAGTCCCCATGTGATCACTGCGCTCTGCTTTCACACTAGACTTCTGCTTGAGTTATGTTTCTCATAAAAACTCATTGCGAAGTTCATAGTCTACTCAGTGCTTCCAGTGCATGTGATGGATCATTTGATAAGATAAGCAGAATTCTCAGAAAATAAGTCCATACAAACACCAGTATTGGATCAAACAAAAGATTGCATGCTTGTTTTAATTGAAGTGCCCCTATTATGGATTTTTGAAAATTACCTTTCATGCAGTGTGTAACACAGCTGTAAGTGAATGAAAACATCCTGCAGAGTTTCAAATCTGAAAGTGCACAGTGTATAAAGTTATTCAGTACGTTTACATGGACAACAATACATGGATTTTAATACGATTAAGACAATACTCGGATTAAGAATCTATGATGTAAACAGAGATTTTTGATTACCTTAATCCGGCTAAAGTCATAATCGAAGTAAACAGAAATCGAATTAAGACATGTGGAGTATTCCTATTTTACTCGCATTATTGAAGTGCAGAATAGACATGTAAACACCTTAATCACATTATTACCGTGGTGTAGGACTTTTCGCCGCATTTTGCGACAGGATACGGCAGTGATCAACCGTTTGACGGCAAATAAAAGAGCTTCAACACCGCCGTGGTCTGTATGCACGTACAAATAATTAACTGCACTTGAAGCTTTCATAAAATTAAAAATGAAACACCCAAAACTGTACATGGCATCATCACGAAGACGAACTGTTTATACGTGAAATTGGACGTCGGATGGCGTCACATGGGATGTAATGACGCGTGCCATTAATCGAACTATGTACTATAACATGTAAAACGGGAAAATGAAAGGAATATTCTAAAAGCAACTCATGTAAACACCATAATCATAATATTGGCTTATTTAGAATAAGGTAAATAATTAGATTACTGATGTCCATGTAAATGTAGTCAATGTCTCTCAAAAGAAAGAGTCGACTCGGAATCATTTAAACGAGTCGTTTTTAAAACGAATCCCAAGCCGCTTCATGTTGATGTCAACATGAAACATTAGCATATTGCCCACCCACTTGTTGGTCTTTTTGCTTGGTCTGAATGAAAATGCAAATTCATTCTTTGCCACTAGGTGCCGCTTTTGGAGCAGTAAAAATAGCTGTTTCCCCAGTAACGCTGTACACAAAGCAGCACTGCGCGGTTAAGGCTAGAAGGGATACTTATGGCGCTACTGGGCATGCGCACATCAATACAGCATAATTTTTGTCACACTGTACAACAATAATTAAAAAATGTTCGTTATTGTAAGGGGTAGGTTTAGGGTTGGGGTAGGTGTAGACGTTAATAAAACAATCTAATAGGTAGAAAATTTATTTCATTGTTCGTTTCTGGTCAGAGCTGTATCCCTTCTAGCCACAACCGCACTGCACTCACAAACGCTGCTTTATCAGGCATGATGAAATGAAAATGAGACCAATCGGACCAATCACAGCAGATTAGTGTCACGCAAAGGAGGGGTTTGGAAAAATGAATCGTTGAGCGAATTGTTTGGAAGTCGTTGAGCAAGTAAGGTAAAAATAAATGCATATTATAAGACAATGAAATAGTTTTTTGACTTTGCATGCATGTCAACCTGTTGTTGGGGACTCCCAAAACCAAAATATGAACCTTTCATTACCCATAATAGGGGCACTTTAATTTATGCATGTATTAAAGTAAACTGAAACCCTATTTTTTTTTTTATGTGTGCGTGTGTGTTGTAGAGTGCTTTGGAGACTCAGGTGTTTGAAGAGAAAGACAAGGCGCAGAGACTTCAGACAGAGCTGGATGTCAGCGAGCAGGTCCAGAGAGATTTCGTCAAGCTGTCCCAGACCCTTCAGGTAAACACATTTCACTAGTAGAACATCGAGGTCTGCTTGAGGCACAACACAGCATGCCAAGACTGTTCACAGAGATGATAGTAGCTTGATTTTTTCCCCAAAAAAGTCATGACTTTTTTTGAGGCACATCTAGGAATTTCTTCAGTAAATGTTTCCTTGATAGTTTGTGATCTTTGTCTTACTAAATAAATGTTTCCATATCAAGAGTGTATGACTAGGAGTGTCAATGTAATATGATTTCAAACATGAATTAATAAATTAATTGATAAATAATTAATAAATCATTATTTAATTTATATTAATAAATAATTTATCCAATTGAAAATTGGTTTATTTTGTTACATTTAGCTGCGCTGTTAAACATGAACAGTTTTTAATGTGTTTGTCTATTTGAAAATTGATTTTTTTTTTCTTGCAAGTTTTGTGCAGTAGTGTTTTTTTATATATATATAATTTAATACTTTTATTCAGCAAGGATGCATTCATTTGATCAAAAATGACAGTAAAGACAATATTATAAACTTTTGTAGTGTCACAAAAGATTTATATTTTATATATAAATGCTGTTCTTTGGAACTTTGTTCATCATAGAATCTTAAAAAATGCATCACTGTTTCCTCAAAGATATTAAGCAGCACAACTATTTTCAAAATCAACAAGAAATGTTTCTTGAGCACCAAATCAGAATATTAGAATGATTTTTGAAGGATCATGTGACACTGAAGACTGGAGTAATGATGCTGAAAAATATATTAAAATATATAAAACAGTGGTTTTTAAATTGTAGTAATATTTTGCAATATTACTGTTTTTGCGGCATAGTTAGTTTAAATCATATTGAAAAGATGAAAACATGAAAAGGGCTAAAGGTTTTAAGTAATTTACTCATGTTTACTTTAAAATAACAGACACCAGGCGATGTAACTCAACTACAGGAAACGTGTGTGTGTGTGTGAGATTTATATTCAGTTGTCTAAATGCAAAAAATCTGTTTATTTTTTACAAGACCAAGACCAGAAGTGGCATGTGATTTTTGGCATGGTCTTTTTAAAATAAAATTATATATATATATATAATATTAGTTCAGGCTGTAGAGTTAACTTAGTTTTGATTAAAAAAAAAAGAATGAAAATTGGCTGAAATTCTGAAACACCACCACCGAAAGGATCGTTAAAAGCCCTCTACATGCATGTTGAAAATCAAGTCTGCTAATTTTGTAACTGTAAGAAAGACAGTTGTCAATGGAAATTTGAATTCAGACAAAATATTCCATGTATTAAAATGTGTGGATTTTTACATCGATAAATACAATGAATTAAGTTTCCTGAGCAAAATCAACCACTATCAACTACATCTGATGAGTACACAGAACTTTAACAACGCTACTATAGTATGACCAGTGCTGCTGTAGTGATCTGATGATGATGATGATGAAGCTCTCCTGTGTGAATATGTGCATCATATTAAGACCATGTGTTGTGGGTTTTATTATCTGTAAGTTTTCACATTGCAGACACTCGTAAGCCTCATGTAATTGCGACTTCAATGGCTTCTTGTGTTTTCAGTTGCGCGACAGAAGCGATTCACTTCAGTGTAGTCTTGACGCCAGAATATTTTAGGAACTACATTTTTCATTAGCAGATAATTTTTGAACTCTAATAACTCATGTGGGGCAAGGACTACCGTTTTTAATGAAAATTATGTTTTAAAAAGACTTTTCTCCTGTCAGTATAATTTATCATTCAGGACAGTCATTTCTACTGGTTTGTGGAGATTAGTTCAGATACTTTCACAATAACAACAGTTATATTTCTGTTCTTTGCATGCTGTGTCGCAAATGCAAAAGCCCTCGCCGATTTATATACTGTACTGTGTACATATCCCTGTATATATCTATATAATAAAACAAACTGAAATGCAAGATTGATGTGGATTTGAAGTTAGTAGTCGTTCTTCGCTTTCCTTCCCATGATCATAAATGGAAGACCTGTGGTTATACATTGTTTTGAATGCATTTTACATTTTAAATGTTTACATTTCAATAACACCGTGTAATTTCTGTGACATTAGAAATATTCATGCTTGGGTTATCAAGTTATAATAGTGAAAACAAAGCAAAATTCTGAGAAAAGAGTTGAAATAACGAGTCGAAATTATGAAATAAAACGTCAGTTGACCTATAGTCCAAATTAATACCGTTATAATTATGGGAAAAGGGTTAAATTGCCATAAGCCGAAATTGAGAAAAGTTGAAGTTATGACAAGTCAAAGCAGAAAGTCTAAATTATGAGAGAACTGACTTTATCACAGTCGAAATTGACGACTCAATTATGACTAAAAGTTGACTATCAATTTGTCATGTGACTCATCTCATTTGACTTGATTTTGATTTGATTGTTGAAACTGAAAAAAGCTTAAATTGAGAAATTATTCAAATGAAGTAATTGACAAGTCAAAAATGTAATAGTCAATTATGACATCAAATATGTCACAATTACAGCAGTCAATTATGAAAAGTCAGTAACTTATGAGTCAATTACGACAAGAAATGAACTGTCATGACTGAATTTCATAATTTTATACTTTTCGTCATGATTGATTGGAATAATTTTTTTTCATTATGTGGTGGAAATGGGCTTCCAGTGCCTTGCCCCATAGACATCCACTGTAAAGTAAATTACTCCTTTAAAGTAGAGGAGTACATTACTGTAGAGAGCAATCAAGATTAAAGGGGTAGTTCACCCAAATTGCTCACCCTCAAGTTGCTCCAAAACCACAAGACCTTCATACATGCATCGTGGTACTGTCGTGAATGCACGGATGAAAATAAATTGTTGAAGGAAGTTTTTTTTTCCTTTGCGCACAAAAATTATTTTTGTAGCTTCATAAAAATACAGTTGAACCACTGATGTCACATGAACTATTTTAACAATGTCCTTACTACCTGTCTGGGCCTTGAACGTGTCAGCTGCGTTGCTGTCTATGCAGAGTCAGAAAGCTCTCGGATTTCATCAAAAATATCTTAATTTGTGTTCTAAAGATGGGCGAAGGTCTTACGGGTTTGGAACAACATTAGAGTGAGTAATTGAATTTTAATTTGAGAATTTTTTTTTTCATTTCTGGGGGAACTATCCCTTTAACTTTGGTAATAAACAACAGATACAGTTGAGCTCATCATCTATTGAACCCAGGTCATTCCTTCTCCTCACTACAGTAAATATCCAAGCTCCTTGTTCTTGACATGATCTTTGCCCTCGTCACATTCTGCCTTGTGATTAGAGGAGGGAAGGAAAAGAGGGAGAAGTCTTCATATCCAGCATGACCTCTTCAGATAAGCCATTGTCTCAGTTCAGGAAATAACGCCAATGCCCAACACTGCTGTATCACAGCTGATAAACTCCTACAGCAACATACACAGGAAAGACTCACTTCAAAGTACAAAACTCTTTATTGTCCAGGAGGTGTGTACATGTACATACCACTTATTTAAAAAAAAAGAAAGAAAAAAAGTTTATACAAAAAACCCAGCTATTTCTTTCTTCAAGACCTTCTGAATATGAGAGGTTTGGGTCAAATACTATACTTTAAAGGAGTCTAAGGAGATGCGATTTTGTAGTTTCATTGAATGCTATAAAAATGATCATCTATTGGCCTTTGAGGACTGTTGATTGCTGATGGTCAGAAACTGAAATGGTTCTTGATGTCCTTGATCTGCTTCATCATGCCAGCGATGTGCTCTCCCCTGCAGGACAGAAGTAAGCCGTTCAGGATCACTGGACTAACACAACAGTTATATATGTTATATACACGTTTATCGCTTAATTAATGCAAAATCAAGAAGAAAAAAAAAAGTAAGGTCCCCCCTCCAGACATTTGGAAATTGAAAATATTACTTGAGTTGATTCTTATTTGACTATAATATAATATATAATTAAAAATATAAAAAATTATATACACACTATATATATAAAATAGATTTTCTACATTACAATAAGGTTTTTTTCCATTGCGTTGTAGTAACAAGGTTAAGATTTGCACATGGAAATGGGGAGGTTTTTTGTGTAACAAGTAAAAGGGATATAGGGCATAACAGTTACAAGGATTAGTCTTTTGCGTAACAGGGATTTTGTTTTTTGTTGCGTAACAGCAACAAGGATGAGTCTATGTATAACAGCAACAGGGATTTTTGCGTAACAGGAATGAGTCTTTCATGTAAAAAAGATTTATTGATTTTTTTTTACAAAGGATGAGTCTTGCATAACAGTAACAGATTTATTTTTTGAGTAACAGCAACAAGGATGAATCTGTTGTGTAACAGTAACAAGTTTTTTTGCATAACGGTAACAGATTTGTTTTTTGTGTAACAGCAATAAGGATAAGTCTTGTGTAAGAGTAATAAGGATTTGTTTTTCTTTTTTTGCGCAACAGCAACAAGGATGAATCTGTTGTGTAACAGTAACAAGTTTTTTTGCACAACGGTAACAGATTTGTTTTTTGTGTAACAGCAATAAGGATAAGTCTTGTGTAGGAGTAATAAGGATTTGTTTTTCTTTTTTTGCGCAACAGCAACAAGGATGACACTATGTATAACAGTAATGGATTTTTTGCATAACAGGATTGAGTCTTATGTAACAGTAACAGGGATTTGTTTTTTGAGAAACGGCAACAAGGATGCATCTTGTGTAGCTGTAACAGTTTTTTTTTGCATAACAGCAACAAGGACGAGTGTCTTGCGTAACAGTAACTTGTTTTTTGTGTAACATCAATAAGGATAAGCCTTTAGTGTAACAGTAAAAGGGATTTTTTTATATGTATTAATTTTTTTGCATAACAGTAACAAGGATGAGTCTTTTGCGTAACAGTAGCAGGGATTTGTTGTTTTTTTGTGTAACAGCAGTAAGGATGAATCTATGTATAACAGTAACAGGGTTTTTGCGTAACACGATTGAGCCTTTTATGTAACGGTAACAGGTTTTTTTGGCGTAACAGCAACAAGGACAAGTCTATGTATAACAGTA